AAAAAAAAAAAAACACTACTGAAACTCCGATGGCTCACAAGTGATCGATCATTGTAGTTTGGAGCATCATTTGAATCCTGGACTTGCCTCCCATTTAGTGTTTTCGCTGTCAATACTCACATATCAGTAAGTATCAGAGTAATCAAAAACTTGCATGGCCTAACATTATTTCACAAAACGACGACAAAAATCAAGGACAAACTCTTAAAACAGTTTTAATGTGTCCATAGTTAAGATTCGGTTCGATTCCACAGAGACTGGTGTACTGGTGTAGTGTTCACTAACACATAATAAAGAAAAAAAAAATCATCTCTCAATAAATCAAACAGTTAACTATTGCGAGATTACCATGAAACAATGAGATTTCCTAAGGCAGCTGTGTAAAAACATTAGTTTTTAATTGAAAATAAATTATCATAAAGCACAAGATTAAGGAACTGCAGCCAGCTTATATATATACATATATACCTTGCGCTTCTTAAATTTTCTATCTGCATTGCTAAAGCTGGTTGTAGGTTGCTCTGCCATGTCACTATCCAGCGGTAAAGTCTTAATCTCGTCATAAAAACTTTCAGTCAGACCAAGCAACCTGGCACAACCAAAAGGAAAGAAAGCCACCACTTGAATCGGTAAATTAACACCAACAATAATAACAATAATTAGTACAGAAATCTTCTTGGGGCTTACCCATTTCTAGATTTCTTTAAATGTTTAAGCTTCTTTTTCTCAACTTTAGTGAGTGGAGCACGGGTGAAAAGTTCCTCTTCTCGACGTGCACGATCATCCATCTTTGCAATAGCATTCATAACTTCTCTACTGTCAGATCCTAGATTTTCTCTGACCTGCAATTTTTATTGCTCATCAATGGATCAACATATAACGATGGTACACTATCCCTAAAAAATGTTTACCACCTCTTCAGGTCTTCCCTCAAGATCATTCATTAGCTCCCGAACATAAGCACTCTTCCTTGATTGTCGTATAATTTCTTCCTCTCTTCTCCGAGCATTTTTCTCCTGTCTCGAAATCTTATCTTCATCCATAGAAGAGGGTGCGAATTTGGGGGGTTGATATACACTATCACCTTTCTGCAAAGCAATTACATGATAATTCTTGCACGTGAACAGAAACAAATGGTAGTATATATAAAAATAATAATAATAACGGTATTAAAAAGTGTAAAGTAACTAATTCTTGCAGACTGTGATTACCTCTGTATTTGTTTTGCTAACAAGCAAGTCAGGATTCGGGCGAAGTCTTAACGTGTCCTCAGCATTCGGAGTTTCATCTGCTACCTTCTCATTCGAGCCTGGTTTCTCAACTGTCATCGTGGATCGTGTCAGCTTTTGAATTTGATATTGGAGTTTCCGATCGATAGGCCGAATCTGAATAAATTCCAAGATGTTAAAAATGGAAAATTATACAAAGCAGAAATTCAATTATGCACCTTCTTCAAAGTTGTATGTGTATACGAGGTTATCCATGTGAAAGAGGTGGACAGGCTGCAGTTATATAAGAATTTACCTTCTCTAAGAATAATCTTGTCTCAACAAGACTCCTAACAACTGGATGCTGCTGAATTGATAATCCTTTTGCCTTGCGTAGCAGAAGATAGACAAGTGACTGGCAATAATTCAGAAGCAGCAAGTGTTTGGCTTCAAGGTAGCTTATCCCATCCGATGTAGGGAAATTATCAGCTTTCACCTGTACACAAAATTCACACTAAAACTTAAAAAGGGCACAATCCATCACACCTTGGCACTCTATTTTTACAGTCCTACAATAAGAAAACGTGGTAATATGTACATTATCGGGTGATAATACCTAGTAAATTAATCTACAACACATTAAAATTAAGAATGGTAAGTAATAGCAAAAAACAGAAGAACCAAGAAATGAAAAGTCAATAACATGTTATGTGCATCATCCGATATAAAGATGCAATTAAACAAGTTATAGCAATCAAATGTAGACGTCAGGTTAAAATAACCAACAAAATTATAAAGAAGATACCAACAAAGCTGACGAGAATGATGGGATAAAATGCCAGCAGCTAAATCTGAGTGTTTCTTATCAATAGAAATAAAATAGGATAATCCTTGTGACTATTTCATATCAAGTATCACAAATTGGAAGTGTCCAAAGCATGACAGCTCACGTGGTCTATTTCCAAAAGGAAATGCTTTTCATAAACAAACTTCAATCTTCGCTAAAAAAAAAAAAAA